CCAGGACTGTCTTCAGCTACCCCTGCCCACCCTTGGAGGGAACACCCTAGGTTCTTCCTCTGATGGCCAGAGGGTGGGCACCTGGCTTGGCGATGGGGCTGGGGCAGGGTTTCTCAGCCTGGGCACTGTGGACATTTGGGGCTGGATGATTCTTTGTTGAGGAGCCTGGGTGGCACAAGCAGTTTGTAATTAGCTGCTAACCGAAAGGTTGGCAGTTGGAACCCACCCAGTGGCTCCACAGAAGAAAGTCCTGGCAGTCTGCTTCTGTAAAGATTATAGCCAAGAAAACCCTATGAGGCGGTTCTGCTCTGTCACATGGCGTCGCTATGAGTTGGAGGCCAACGTGATGGAAGCTAACGACAATAATTATTTGTTGTAGGGGGATGTCCTGTGCATTGTAGGATGGTTAGCAGATCCCTGGCCTCCACCTATCAGATGACAGTAGCACCCCCCGCCCCCCCAGGTGTGACAACCAAAAAAGACGTCTCCAGACACTGCCAAATGCCCCTGGGAGGCAAAATCGCTGTCAGTCGAGAACTACTAGGCTAGGGGATGAACGCAGCATGTCTCAGGCTTGGCTTAAAATCCTCAAATGGCTGTGCTTGGAAAGGACCATAGAAATCATCTAGTCCAAATCCCACATTTTAAGGGAAATCGGGCCTCAGAGAACTAAAGAATCTTAAGGTCACACAGGGGAGCAGCATGATGAAAGATGTGTTTTAGAGAAAGGATCCAGGCAGCACTGTGCAGGCCGTGCTGAAAAACAGGCTGGAGGCAGGCAGGAGAGCATGGGCTGTGGTCAGGGCGTGAAGCAGAGGGCTACCGTGGGTTGTCTTGGTGCCTTTCTGCTGTCAGGCAGCAGCTCAGTGGCTCACTCGCAGGTTTCCTAGGGAGCTGGTGGTGGTGCAGAAGGAACTCAGGTCCACAAACCGGGAGACCACATTCTGGTCCCAGCTGTACAGTGTGACTTGGGCCACCGTGTCCCTTCTTAGTTTCCTTATCTGTAAAATCAAGGCTGATCTTTGGGTATTATCTCGTCTGGAGGCTCTGCTAGTTCTGGGTCCTCCCAAGATGGCAACAGAGGGTTTGTCTCAGACTCCTGAAGATGTGGAGGAGTGCCGATGGGATGTGCAGTAGTACCCCCCATGTTGCACTGCAGGAGCCCGCCATTCACTTCGGGCTCTGTTTACGCAGAATATGTTGGACAAGGCAGGGGCCTTGATGGGGGTAGGGAATAGGTAGGAGGGTTTTGAGAGGAAGGCTTGCCAGGGCTTAGTAACAGGCAGCTTACTGAGACTGTCCCAGCTGCAGGCAGCAAATCTTACCTGGGTCTTAGCCTGGGGCATACTAGGACCCAGGACAGGAGGTGAGAAGGAAGCAGGGAAATGGGCAACAACTGTGTTCTTGAGTGGTGGAAGGAGGCTCCTGTTGGGAAGTTCGCAGACAAGGTCAAAGAACGTGTTGTGTGAAGTCAGAGAACCAACTTTAAGGGAGATAAATGACCAGTTTCTGGAGTTTCTAAACTGTCAAGGTTTTCCCAGATGGATGCTCCTTGACCTCACTGCAGTTCCCACTGAGGGGAAGGGAGGATAGAAGCACAGAGGGGACTCCCACCAGGCCTGCCCTCAGTGAGACATGGCTTCTGGGAAAAGCTATACTCAGAACTTTTCCAGGTCTGGTGGGGGCTCAGGCTGTGAGGTCTTGCGGGACCCTTGGGTTGTCTCCAGCTTCAGGGTGGGGGCATCCTGCAGCTTCAGGGGTCCCTGAGCCAGGTCCCTTTGTCACACGCTGCTCTGCTGTAGTAAGTGACCTGGCAATCTCGGGCTTTCCACTTACTCATTCCACAGTCTAGCTTTTGGAGCCATAAATCTTCAGCATGAAGATCAAGAGTTTTCCATGGTATGATTAATGAAAGACAAATTGAGACAGCAGCATAGGAACTGACCAGATTGAAGAAAGAGTGACAAGTTGGCTGAAAAGTTTCAGCAAGTCAGCAGCAAACCCAAAGAGCTTCTGAGCCAGCCTGGAGCGCCACCTAGTGGTTACAGGGAGTGGTGGTACCCATCGCCCCTGCAGAGCTTTGTGGACTCTCTGGGTGGGTGGTTGCGTGGTTGCTCTGAGCCTGCGTGTGGCTGTGCCTTGACCCAGTTCTTCCTCTAAAGGAGGCACAGGACCACTCTGCAATGAGGGGGACCCGGGCAGCTGCTTCACTTGCCTAACTCCAATCCACGTGCAACAACACGTGGAAAGACCCTCACTGGTTTTTTCTTGCCAGGCTGGACCACCTTTCTTTGTTTCACCATTTATCAAAACCCTACTCATTCTTCAAAGCAAGCCCTGTTGGTATCACCTTCAAAACAGATCTCAAGTTGACCGTTCCTCCCCTCTCTTTCATAACTACCCTGGTGTAAGTCGCTACCAGCTCGCACTTGATCACTACGGTATTCACTGATTTGCAGTGATATTACAGTCTCACTGATTGCTCTTCTGTCCATCTCCCACCCCCCCACCCCCCGCCTTCCAATGGTCTGTTCTTTGCACAGCAGCCAGAGTGATCTACTGAAAACATAAATCAGCTCACGCCATCCCTCATTCCAGGGGCTTCCCATCACACTGAGAACAACATCCATGTTTTTTTTACCATTGACTGCAAGGCCCCCCTGGTCTGTCTCATAGCTGCCCCACCTGTTAACTCTCCCACACTTTTCTCCCCATGACTCTGTTGCCACAACAGTGGGAAGCTCGTTCTTCCTTCAGCCGGCCAAGCTCATTCCCACCTCAGGGCTTTTGTACTTGCTGTTCCCTGTCTAGAACACTCTTCCCCCAAGATATTTATGTAACTCACTCCTTCCTCTTCATTTGGATTCCTACTCAAACGCCACCTTTTCCAAGAGACCTTCCCTGACCACCCTGTCCCCTAGTTACTTTCTAACCCATTCTTAACCCTTACTCACTCTTATTTTTCTTTACGGCACATGTTGGCACCTGAAATTCTGTTATATGTCTGCTTATATGATATTTGTGTCCTCTGTAAGAATCTAGAGTCTCTGGGTGGTGCTTACAGCTAACATGCTCTGCTGCTAACCGAAAGATTTGAGGTTTGAGTCCACCCAGAGGTGCCTTGAAAGAAGGGCCCGGTGATCTACTTCCAAAAAAATCAGCCATTGAAAACTCTACGGAGCACATTTCTGCTCAGACACACATGGGGCTGTCATGACTTGAAATTGACTAGATGGCAGCTGGCAACTATAAGAATCTACTCTTCATGAGGACAGGGTCTTTGCTGTCCTGTTTACCACTATCTCAGCCCAGCATCTGGAACAGGGCCTAGTACTTAATAAGCAGGTGCTCAATTAAGGTGTGTGGACTGAATGAGCGAAGGAGATGCCATCTCCTTAGGGACCCTCTGCCTCTTCCCCTCACCTTTCCATATGCCTGGCAGTTCCCTCTCTGGTGCAGTTATTGTAGGCTGCATTGTCATAGCTGGGCACATCTGCGTTTCCTCCCTGGAGCATGAGCAATTTGAGAGCAGGGGTGTACGTGATTCCTGGGAGTCCCGCAGTTAGCACAGCTCCTGGCCCCTAGTAACTGCTCAGTGAGTGCCTTTTCAGCGAGCAGTGCCTGGTTCTGGCCACTCAGTTTGCATATGTCACCTCATTTACATTCTAACAGTAACCCAGCCAGTAGGTGACACTCCTCATTCTGCATAAAATGAGTTTGCAAGGTCCCACAGCCTGGACAAGCTGGAGCCAAGCGTCAAATCCACATCTGTGAGTCTCAACCCCTTGCTGTCTACACTTCCATCCCGTATGGAATGTTCTTATCCCCCACTGCCGCCATTCCACTCGTCCTTTAGGGATGACCTCCTCCAACTGGTATTGCTAACCAGTACAGTGATTGCTTCCTCTGAATGCTGTAGCATTTATATGGCACCAGTGTTTACTGCCTGGGGGTAGATGCTGCTTTTTTATTGCTTCTGTCCTCTCTCCAGCCAGAGCCGGGGCCCCTGGAAGGCAGGTCTCTGAAGTGGTTGTAGCTTTTCTGGCACAGGACCCCCTCATGCTGTAGGTACTCAATAAATATTGGTTGACTGATTGATTGGTTCCTTAGACTCCGCAACCTTCCCCTGAGTTGGCGGAGGGTGTGGAGGGAGTGTCAGCTATATCGAGCATAAAATAAAGCAGATGTGGAGATTTGCAGCCAATGAAACTGAAGCTTCCCCAGGTGGAGCTGGTGGTGTCTGCAGCCCCAGGGGTGCTGAAGAGGAGAGTCAGTTTTTGGACCCATAATGCCGGCTGCTTGGCTGAATTGGAGGGATGGTGAAGGTAGTGAGCAACTCCATGCCCTGCACATCAGCCAGCCCCTCAGCCAGCCAGATGAGTTCTTTTCTTTCTCCATGTGTGGGAAATATGTTCTTTGGGTTTCTGAGAACAGTGGGCAAATGACCCTTCCAGTCAGGGCAACCGCACAGAGCCCCTGGGAGTTCTGGTGCTGAGAAACTGGACTCTGAGATCCTCTTCCCAACCCCAGACACAAGTCTTTCCTTGCTTCCCCTGACCACTATGGTCCCTTCTCCCTCTGCCTACTTCCTGAATCCCAGATCCTCTTCTCTGTCAGGTGGAATAATCTAAACCACTCATATGTGTCTAGCATCTTTGATCTGTTTTTAAAATGTTTTTGCCCGTGTCTTATTTAATTTGATCCTCAGAGTGACCCTGTGAGGTCTGTGAAGCTGGCATTATCCCATTTGCCACATGGGGAGACTGAGACACAGAGAGGCTGTGGAATCTGTCCAGGTCATAACTGACATGTCTTTGGCTTGTGATCAGAATCTGGGCCATCACTTCAAGACCACATGTGGCTACCACATCTGACCAGCAGGACAGTCCTCACCCTTTTCTGTGTCTCAGAATTGGGGGTGGGGGACATGCAGTCTTTTGAGTTCTACGGTGATAAATCCAAGAACAATATTGATCTAATGGGCTTTCCTTTATCTCTAGCTCTGTGGCTGTGGGCTGCTTGGAGTGGGCATCTGGCTCTCCGTGTCCCAAGGCAACTTTGCCACCTTCTCCCCCAGCTTCCCCTCGCTGTCTGCAGCCAACCTAGTCATCGCTGTAGGCACCATTGTCATGGTGACGGGCTTCCTCGGCTGCCTGGGGGCCATCAAGGAAAACAAGTGCCTCCTTCTCAGTGTAAGTAGGACTTTGTATCTCAACCATGTGAACTCTGGGTCTCCCTGTACTTGGGCCACTGAGACAGACAAGGCCAACTGGGTGCCCAAGCTGAGCCCAGGGAAGTTGCTTCTAGAATGTTCTATGCCTAACCACACCCCTCTTCCTCATGATTGGCTGTCTCTGCCCCTAGTTGTCCCTCCCACTCCTTGATCAGTTGTCTGCTTCTACTTTATCTTCCTTCCCTACCTATCTGGGTTTCCTCAGGAATGGGCAAATCTGCCAATATCTCAGAAGCCCTGCCTAGGTGCCACCTGTCCCCTGCCTCCCCACCACCCTTCTCGTTTGCACCCCGTCCCCGGCGTCACCATCAGTTGCCCACACCTGGATCTTTCCTTTCAGTTTTTCATCGTCCTGTTGATCATCCTCCTAGCAGAGTTGATCTTACTTATCCTGTTCTTTGTCTACATGGACAAGGTAAGCCCCACAGGAAGGAAGGGCCATATGGAATGTCACTGCCCTTGGGGTTGGAGCCAGGGCAAGTTAGGATCCTTTCCTAGACAGAGGAAAAGGGCTGGTAAGCATGAGGAAAGGAGAATGGAACTGAGAGAATTAGACTGCCTAGGAAAGGCCCAGGTGGAAGATTTTGATGGGAGGCAGCATGGAGTTAATAAGAAAGTTAATGACTTTGTGTAGTATTAGGAAGTAGACTACTCTAAATTACTGAGGGATGGAAGGGGCTGCATTAGGAAGCTTCATCACTGGAAGTTATTCAAGCATCGTTCAATGTGACCACTTGATAGGCAGTTTAGAGACAAGACTCAACTCACCAGGTGGTTGGACTGGATGATTTGATGGTTATTCAGTAAAAACAAGGAAGAACTTTCCTGATGACACTGGCGAGTAGGGCTAACATGGAGGTGGCTGAGTTTTCTTTTCTAGAGACTTCTGAGGACAGGATGCCTGTTCCTAGGCTCAGCCTACACCTCGGGGTTCAGGAGGATGGGGGTGGCCCCTAGTGACCTTGCCAGGTGGGGCAGTTTGCAGTCAGATTAGAGAACCTCCTTATTAGTACCACCAAGAATGATTGGCCAAACTTAGTCTCTTAATAGGGACTTAGTAGGCCCTAGTGACACAGTGGTTAAGTGCTTGACTGCTAAGCAGAAGCTTAGTGGTTCAAACCCACCAGCTACTCCACAGGAGAAGGATGAGGCCATCTGCTTCTGTAAAGATTATAGTGTTGGAAACTGTATAGGGCAGTTCTACTCTGTCCTGTAGGGTTGCTATGAGTAAGAATTGACTCGAGGGCAACAGGTTTATCCTAGAACTAAGTATTTGTCCCTTGAGTTCTTGAAATAGTTGCCCAAGCCACTGAAAGTTAGAGGCATTCTTGGAGTTAGAAACAACAATTCTTTGGTTTTGTACTTGTGAAAGGGAAGAAATAACAGTGACATTTATTGAGTGAGTCCTTTGTGCCGGCCCTGTTCTTAGCTGCTTATCAGAATTGTTCTCTTTAATCCTTGCAACAACCCAGTGAGGTAGATACTGTTATTCCAACATTACAGATAAAGAAGCAGAGGCAAGAGCGGTTAGGTTACTTGCTAGTAAGAGATGAAGGTATAATGAACTGGCCACCCTCTTGCCCCTAAGGTGTATTTTTTTTTAATTGTTGTAAAAATATATCTAGCACAATATTCACCAATTCAACATTTTCCAGGGCCTGTTTTGACAGCGGCAGAGCCTTACACCTAGGATGTGGGAATCTGTTGAGGGAGGGCGGCAGAGTGGCCTGTGTGTGTGGCTGGTCCTGGGACCAGAGCAGTTGAGGTGCTGTCTTTTTGCCTCTTAGTTTTACGGCCCTGGCCCTAAGAGCTTAACTTTCCTAAGAGTCAGTGGGAACATCAGGGAATACTGCAGACTGAAGCTGGGAGAGTGAACCCACATCTGTGGCCAGCCCCTCCCCTCTTCACCCCTGTCTAGTTGATCTGGGGCAGGTTGGGAAAATGAGCTGCATCTTGGTCCAGACCAACCTGTCCTGTCTGCCCTCAACCTGACAGGTAAACGAGAATGCCAAGGAGGACCTGAAACAAGGCCTGCACCTGTACAACACGGAGAACAACGTGGGCCTTAAGAACGCCTGGAACATCATCCAGGCTGAGGTGAGGGCTGGGGCTACTTGAGGGGCTCAGCCCAGTGGGGAGGGGTGGCAGCCTGGAGGCCTCGGGGCTCTTACCCAGGGGATGGAGTTGGGGGGAACCTGTGCCTTCTCGATGATAACAGGGCATGGGTAATACAGCCTCACTGCGACATTTGCCTGAATTGCTGGGTCAGTCACAGTACAGTGGGATCGATTGGACAGGGACGTGGATGAGGGTGGAGGCAGGTGAGCAGAGCCTCAATGCAGCAGTGGACAGGTCTCAGGGAGCTATGGCAGGTGGCTAAGCGGGCATAGGGAGCTGGGAAGGCAGGATAACCACCAAGGGCAGATCAGTCAAGCCTTTCTTTTCTAAAGCTTTGGGATGAGTGACAGACTTTATTTTAGCAACAGGTTTGCCTCCCTGATCACGCCTGGCTCAGGCAAAGAGGCAGTGGTTGTAGATGAAAACAAATCAATATGCCCCAGACACACCATTTTAAGCACTGGGGAGGGACCAGCAGTGGGTCAGCTGGCAGCCGGCTAGGATGATCCACAAAGCAGAGACCTGGAGGTGCTGGTGGCAGAGGAGGGAGCAGTCTCTTACTTCCTTTTGGAGCTGCTGAGACACAGAAGGACTGAGAAGAAGGCCCTTTTCTCCTCCCTGAAAGGTCCACTTGGGCTGGGGAAGGCCCAGAGGAGGGTGGGGCAGGCCGTGGCGTGTTCTGACTGTCCCTCTCCATCCCTGCTGGCAGATGCGATGCTGTGGTGTCACCGACTACACAGACTGGTACTTAGTGCTGGGAGAGAACACGGTTCCCGACCGCTGCTGCATAGAGAACTCCCAGGGCTGTGGGCGCAACGCCACCACCCCCCTGTGGCAAACGGTGAGGCTAGCTCACTGGCTTCACCCTCCCCGGAGCCTGTGTGATGGGTAGTCTGGCAGGTGGAGACCTAGAGGGGAGGTGGGGGCAGGATAGTAAGGAACTGACTGAATGTGGGGTGGGGTAGAGGACACATAGGACTGAAGCCAAAGAACAGGTGGAAGGTAGAGGGGGGCTAGACCCACAGTTGGAAGAGCCAGAAGGTGAGGGATGGATGGGGTTTGAGGCTATGCACTGGGGTCTTATGAGGCCAGGGGCCAAGGGTCAGGAGGTAAGAGCAAGGACAGGGGCTGAAGGGGAAAGTGAGGTGGGGCAGGCAGGAGTGGGAGCTCACGGTCATGGCAGGACCTTCACCGTGTGCTCCTCGCTCCCCAGGGCTGCTACGATAAGGTGAAGATGTGGTTTGATGACAACAAGTATGTGCTCGGCACGGTGGGGATGTGCATCCTTATCATGCAGGTAAGAGGGGCGTGCTGAGCCTCAGTCCCTCCTGACTAGACCTGAGCCAGAGGAGGAAAATGAAATGTTAAGGAGTTAAATAGTTTGTTAGTACTCAGAGGAGCCAAGACTTGACCCCCGGCCACCTGCACTTACCTGTCTGCCGGGCCTCTTCTTCTCTTAAGATGCTGGTCCAGACCCTGCCAGGCAGAGCCAGCATCCTCAGCACTCCTGAGCGTGGGCTTGGTGGGTGTTGTCTGTACTGCCTGTGTGCACTTGTTTGTGGACAGCCTGTCTCCCGAGCTACAGGGACTATTTACCTTGTACAGGTAGTCCCTGATTTACGACATATTTGAGTTACAACAAACCTCACTTAAAAATGTCTGTGTTTTTTTTTTTTATTGGTACATCTTAGTAATATGTATGTATTAAAATATATCTGTAAGTTTATATGCAATGTTGCCAACCCCCAAAGACAAAGATCAGATTTATAAAGATACTGATAATAAAAGACAATAATGATGAAAACTAAAAACAAACAAAAAAGAGGTATTTGACTTACGTCAGAACCAATTTATGACGGAGTCGTTGGAATGGAACCCCGTCGTAAGTTGGGGACTACCTGTACTGCACTAAATTAAACCTGAGTCTTTAATAGTGATATGAGCACAGGCTTACAAGCCAGACTCCATGGACAATTTACTTAGCTTCTCTGTGCCTTAATTTTTATAGCAGGATAATGGGTATGATAATGGTGCCACTTCTTAGCACTGAGTGGGTTTAATACACATAAGTGCCAAGAGCAGTAGAAGACACATAGGAAGTACTCTGTAAACATTAGCTGTTATTGTAACCATTTAATGAGCAACTGTTCTTTTCAAGGCCATAGACTAGTTGATGAGGGCAATGGTGATTCAGTGGTAGAATTCGCACCTTCCATACAGGAGACCTGGGTTTGATTCCTAGCCTGTGCACCTTATGCATAGCCACCACCTGTCCATTGGTGGAGGTTGTGTGTTGCTATGATGTTGAACAGGTTTCAGCGGAGTTTCTAGACTAAGATGGACTAGGAAGAAAGATCTGGTGATCTACTTCTGAAAATCAGCCAGTGAAGCCCTGTGAAACACAATGGTCCAGTCCACAACCGATCGTGGGCATGGCACAGGACCAGGCAACATTTTGTTCCATTGTGCATGGGGTCACCTTGAGTTGGGGGCCGACTCAATGGCAGCTAACGACAGAAGCAGCCTAGTTGATGGAAACGGAGGTGGAGGGGATCCAGACTCGATCCCTGCCTTCCCTCTTGAAGACGAGGCCATTGTGGCTGATTGGGAGCAGGAGCCCCCCTTACCTGTCTGGGAAGATGCACAGAGGTTGCCCCAAGGGAAAGAGCATCTCCTGGGCTCCCTGTTCGCCTAGACTTTTGGATGACTCCTGCCCCTGGTGACCAGGAGTCTTCAGTGTCTGAGTCCCCTGGCAGCATTCGAACTTGATTGGTTGGTCCATGGGAATATGGTTGACATCCTGCATGAAGTTATCTTTCTTACCAGGTTCCTAAACTCTGGGTCCTAGGGCCTCATCATGCCTGAGGTTTATCTCAGAGCTTTCAGAGATCAGCAGACCGGCCTGCTCATTTTCACAGAGCTCTTGGGAGTTGCATATACAGTGAGCAAGATCCTATTCAGTACCTAGAGGAATGGGGCCCGTCGGGGCTGCCTGCGGCAAGCCCAGACCAGAACACAGGAGCCAGGTCACCAGCCCTGAACCTTTCCACTTAGGTCTTCTCCTCCTGTATGCCCAGACCATGAGCCACAAGGGCCATGGAAGGCATGCACAGTGTCCCTCGGCTGTCCTCTTATGACTGGTGCATGTGGCAGACTCTGTGTTGACCGTGAGGTCACAGGTTGGCTTCCTTCTGCCTCCAGTACTTCCCTGGGTCATCAGCCTTTTCAGGATTCAGGATCTGAGGGAACACAAACAGTATGAATACTGTCCTAAGCACAGCACAATCGGAGCCTGGTGGCTCATATGGTTAAGTGCTCAGCTGCTAATTGAAAGGTTGGCAGTTCAAACCCACCTAGTGGCTCTGCAGGAGAAAGACCTGGTGATCTGCTCCCATAAATATTACAGCATAGAGACCCTATGGGGCAGTTTTGCTTTTGTCACATGGGGTCACTATGAGTCGAAATTGACTTGACGGCACTTAACAAAAACATAGAAAGCACAGCGCGATCAGTAAGCCAAACGTGCTGCAAAGAAATCACTTTAGTATTCCAGAACCACTCAGAAAGGGCTTGCCATCAGTTTTCAATTCCTCTTCCTCTCCTGAGTTCCTTGCTAGCTGCCATTTAGGGTCAGGCCCTTTATGCGTGTGATCTCATGTAGTTCTCACAGTCACCCCTGTGAGACATATGATTCCCATTTTATAATGAAGAAGCAGCCTCTGAGACAGCTTTGAGGGGCTGAGCCAGGATTTGATGCCAAAGGTCACCTGTGTGTGACCCTGAGCTGGTCACTGTAGTTGCAAAAAAAACCAGTTGAGGTCGAGTGAGTTCTGAATATGTGTGTATCAGAGTTGAACTGTGCTCCATAGAGCTTTTAGTGGCTGATTTTTCAGAAGTAGATCACCAGGTCTTTCTTCTGGGGCACCTCTGAGCGGAACTCGAGCCTCCAACATTTCAGTTAGCAGCTGGGCACATTAACACTTTGCACCATCCAGGGACTCCGTAATGGTAAGGTCCTCCGCTGTTCACCATTTTCTTGATTCCACAAGCGTTTTTCAAGCCTCCCCAGTGGATACACCCACTTGTTGTAGTCACCGTGTGACGTTACAAAGGTTTACGAGGCTGAGGTCAGATCCCAGTCCGATAGGCCTTCCGTTTAAGGTCCTTTCCCCTGTGTCTTTCAGATTCTGGGCATGGCCTTCTCCATGACCCTCTTCCAACACATCCACCGGACGGGTAAAAAGTATGACGCGTGAGAGGGCAGCTGGGAGCGCCCCAGTCCCCCACCCGGACGCTCTGTACGAGGGAAGATTTGAGCTTTGTGTCTCCTGCCTGCACTCTCCAGACTGCTGACCCCTGCACCCTTCCCCGCCCAACCTGCCCTCCCCTGCCAGCCCCACCTTGGCCTAAGACTTCTCTGTGGATGGAGGGCCAGGGAGGAGGCACACAGAGACCTCAGGGAGCTGGGGGCGCTGGGCTCCACACCTGCATCTATCTGTGTAATTGCCAAAGAAGACAGGGTGGGCTGGGGGCATGCTCGAGGAGGAAAGTCCCCTGGCACTGATGCATTTCTGCCCTCTGCCCCTCCTCATACTGACACTGTCTCTCCTTGTGGACAGACTGTCCCAGCAGAGGCTACTGCCGTCCACGACGCCCCATGGGAACATGGGAGAGCTGGTGGGGTGGGGAGCCTGACGGCGTCCAGGCCAGGCCCCTGGGAGCATCTTGCCCAGGCTTTTTATACCTTACAGTGTAACTTTTTTATTGTATTTTACTCTAATTACGATTATTCAGGAATATTATCTCGCAGATACACTTAGGGGTAGCTTTCTGATGTATAACTTTTTACTGCGTTGATTTCTTTAATGGTTTAAATTTTTTTTTTTTCCTGAGGGTGGGGGACAGGTGGGGAGAGAGGACATTGTCCAGTTTCAATCAGGACAAACCATGGCTCCACACTCAGGAGGCCCTTGGGTGAGATGCACCAGGCCCTCGCTCAAATGCACTGGGAAGAAGTGGTGCGTACCTTGGATGGAGGACCATGGCCAGGGTGTGGCCAGGAGGTGGGAGCCGTGTGAAGATGGCTGTCTTTGGCCTGGTGTCTGGGATTCTGCAGGGGGGCAGAAGAGCCTGGAAGAGCAGGTGAAGTCGAGGAGCATGAAGCAAGCATGGAAGAGGATCCTGCACAGAGCAATGATGTTTGCTAGCTGAGGGTTAGAGGCCTGAGCAGTGGGGGAGTCCTCTAGGGGCCAGCTAAGTGCTTTGCCAGGAATGCGGCCGGAGCTGGCATGGGTCCTTACAGTTTTCACTGATGAGCATATTTTCCCTTCTTCCTCCTGCCCTCTGCTGACACAGGAGGCCTCCCCTTCCACCCCATGCGGGCATTCCCGCACCAGGTTCTGCAAACCCGTTACTTTCACAGACATTCCTGCTAGAAACTCTCAGACAAATACCTCTCTAGTTCAGATGCTGCTCACTTTTCTTACATTGCTTTTGGAAGGGGAAACAGTCCTTACATTTTTGTTGCTCAGAGGGTGGCAAAGGACCTGTGACCACTAGATGTTGGAGGTAGAGCTGGCGCCCACAATCATCCCAGCCAGAATCACTCGGCCTGATTACCCTGCCAGGAAGGGGTGCAAGACATCCATTGGGTCTCAGGACCCTCATCTTCTTCCTCAGGGCCCAGCCATCTCTGCGGCAGGGCCTCCTTAGCGGGGTGGGTAGTGATCATGTCCCAGGTGATCCCAAGGACGAATGACAGAGAAGTCAGACTGGATCTTGTTGCAGCTGTTCCACGAAGAAAGCAGCTGAAGTCATGGCGTGTAGCGTGAACAAGTAGGGTGTGGTGAGGTGTCCAACTACAGTAGGATCTGACTTATGCTGGCCTCATTTAACAATCTGCAGTAAAAAAAAAAAAAAGTCAAGAATCCATGGAACTGAATTCAAAAATGTTACCCCCCAGCTAGCTTGGATCCAGTGGCAGTGTGCTGGCTGGGACCTTGCGTGGGCGGCTGCCTTTCACCTGTAATATTTGGCTCTTTACCTGGATTTCGCACTCGATCTGCTCTCTCCTTTAACGTCCATCGTCCTGTTCCAAGATCCAAGACATGGCCATCCAGCCAACCAGTAATTCATCCATTTACCTTAAATAACGTGCAAATTGGGACCAGGAGTATAGGACTTTTGGCGTGTTCAGGATTCATGCATTTGGGGGGGGTGGTTTGGGTGAGGGGTGGAGAGTAGGGCGGTCTCAGAGCGTTGGGCCAGGTCCAGGCCACCTCCCTGAGAGGGGAGTGGTGGTGCTGATGGGAAGCACCAGGAAGGCAGGTTCCAGATGGGGCCAGTAGCACACGGTAGAAACAAGCTGCCTTTCAGTCCTGGCCCATCTTCCTGGTAAGGAGCTTCCGCTGCCTGCCTGGAACCTGAAACTGTAGAACGCAGAGCAGACACGCTCCCGCAGAGACACTTAGCAAACAAGTGTTCAAGTCACACAGTGGGACCTGGTGCATAATGAGTTTTCTCTGTGGGTGGGAGGGGTGGGTTTGTTTATGCCTATCAATGCAATTTTTCATTTTTGTTAAAATCAACAGCAGAAGCCTAGTGCACTGGGGGCGAATGACCTCCCTGGCAAACAACGTTTCTGGTGAGCTTCAGGGGCTTCCTCTGGCCCTGGAGCCTTTGCCACAGCCCCCTCCCTCCCCCACCAAACCCCACCTTGTCTGTCTGTTTGTAGAGCCTTGTCCAGGGTTCCCCAAACTGCCTTCTTGCCTCACCCTGTGCTTGGCTGTTGGTCACTTGGCCGAGTCTACATTGGCCTGGAGTCTCTGTGGACAGGGGTGGGCTACTGCCAAGCCCCTCACCTGTCTGTCTGTAAGTGGTCCCCATGCCACGCAGTAAGGCTGTTGTGGAGTGCCAGTGATGGCGGTCAGGTCTTCTCAGCTTCTCCTGACTTGGATCTCATTGGGGCAGAATTAACTGAGTGCATTTCCTCACTCTCAGCTTCCCTTGCTAACGTCAGAGTTAGTTCAATCAGGTCTGTTGCAAGCAATTTACAGACTTGACTCAGAAGTCCCTTAGGATTTTCAGACAACTTCAAGGAATGTCTAATGTAGACTCAGCCTTCCTCTGCAGCCCTCTCTCAGAGGAGGTGGGAGGGCAGGGCTGAGGACTGCCCCGGGGAGGGTGGGCAGTAGGTGTCGGGCACGAGTCTCCACCTGCCACCCTCTGCACCCCCAGCTGATCCTCTACCACCCGCCCCCTACCCAGAGCTGGAGTGCTGTCACCCCCTCCCTGCCAGCATGGGCCTGCATCTTGGGCTCTCAATCTGGAAAGGTTGCCGACCTGACCCCAGACCCCAGGCCCTCTCGCAGATGTTCTGGCTTTGAATGAGGTGACCATCTGTCCTTTGGTGGCCAAGGAGCAATCTAAGCAGATGGATGTGACTGTCCCCTCCTCTCCAGCCCCCTGCCCACCCACTGGTGGAGGTGCTAACTAGCAGGGACATGGCATAGGACAGGAGCTGGGTGCGAGGTGCTCCAGGTCACTCCTTGTCCCTTAGCCTTTCAGAGTCCATCCAGCCCCCCAGGGTTCCCGTTAGCCCATTTTCCTCCTCTCCACCGCAGTAAGGAGTCGTCAGGAGTGGGGCCTGGCTCCCTGCTTGGAAGGGGGCTCTGAGGAGGGGAGGCCTTGGGGGAGCCTCCCCACACCCCGACTGCCACCCGCCTCAGGGCAGAATGGGAGAGCACGCTTGTGGGTTTCAGATGCACTTTTCTGCTTGCAATGCCGTACCTGCGCGTTTCCTCCATCCTGGTCCCGGCTTTATTTAACACCATGTTTATAGCATGTTTTTGAATAAAAACTGATAATGTGTCAACAGCACAAGCAGGCTGTCTCTTTGTGGTGAGTTTTTGTTAATTCAGCCACAACTGTGCTTTATTTCATGCATGGTTGTTGTGAGGGACCCAAAGGGGGATCAGACACCAGTCCTGCCCTTGGTCAAATACACATCCCTCAGGGAGGACCTCAGCTCCCATTCAGGGTCTAGGTTAAAGATCTGCTGGGAGGGGAGGGTCTCAGTCTCTCTGGGTGCCTGAGGAACCCTGTTGTTGGATGCTGTTGAGTCGATTCTGACTCATAGCAACCCCACGTGACAGAGTAGAACGGCCCCATAGGGTTTCCTAGGTTGTAATCTTCGTGGGAGCTGATTGCCAGGTGTTTTCTCCCAAAGAGCCACTGGTGGGTTCGAACAGCCAACCTTTTGGTTAGCAGCCAAGCCTTTAACCATTGTGCCACCAGGGCTCCTTTGAGGAACCCTAGCTCCATCTTTTGCCTGGTGAGCTGATGCAGGCATGACCCAGGGTCAGTCCAAGTGGCCAAGCACTCTGCATGCAAGGCCATCTGCCCACCTTGAGTCTGTGCCCCCCACCACATCAAGGATAACCGTATTGAGGGTCAGGCCCATCTGTGTGTTGAGGGAGGGGCGAGGTGCAGTCACAAATGGCTTCCTGTAGGGATGGGGCCTGGGATGTCAGTTTTAGGTCCAATCTCTAGGATGTTCCCAGGTTTGTCTGAGCCTGATGGCTCTTCCAGGTGTGGGGGACCTCACATTGTGACCTGGCCCATAGGGATCCTCTTAGATGGCTGTGAGATAGGTTCAGAGAAGACTTAGAAACACAAAGTCAACACACTCAGGAAAAGCAGAGCAGAATGCAGCATGGTCAGTGGGGAGTGGGGAGGCATTTAAAACCATGGGACTAGGAAGAGCCATTGACAAGCCCCTGAACTTGCTACCTTACTGCAGTAGAAGTCGCCCAGCTCCCTTGGGTCCGGGTTTTGGTTAATGAGCTTTCCTTGACTATCGCAGCCACTGTGACAAGTTGCAGGTGAAGGAAGCGCAGAATGCATGCTGGCCCTGAGGCATTGCTGTACAGCGTGTATGGAGGGATGGGCAGGATCCCACAGCAGTGGGAGGTGAGGCATCGCTGACCCCCTCCAGGTGAGAGGTCTGTCTCCCTCCCTCCTCCTCATGGTATGGCCAGGGTGGCCCAACACTGTCCCAAAACATCACCTTCGGGGTCCAGATCCAGCGTCAGGGGAGATGGCCCCATCCTGCAGTGCTCTGTCCCAAAGCCTCCAGAGGCTTTACCGAGGACTGCAGAATCTGAGGTGACCTGTCAAAGATCCAGTTGGAATGGGTCCCTGAGAGTTTCCCAAGGAGATTTACTGAGGGGGTGTTGTGGCTGTGTGGGTCAGGAGTTGGTTATGGCCTTCTAGGGGGCAGGGTGAGTGGTGGTAGTGACCCTCCATTGTCTGCTGAGGACCAAGTCATGGAGATTAGAAGTGGAAGCCACTTCCTCTCTGTCCATTCTTGCTCTCCTGTCCCCTAGACCTGTGGATGAACCTGCTGGGATGCCCTCTGGATTGGTGTGCTGTCTGCAGCATCTGGAGAATAGAGAGTAGTGGTGCACAGGGCAGTGGAGCCCACTGACCACTCTATTAGCACTGGGCAGAACGGGGTGTTCATATCAGGACAGGGGCAGGCTTTTTTTTTTTCCCTGCAGACTTGTAAAGATTAGGCTAGAGTCTTCTGGGATGGGCTGTAGGCTCTTCAGCCCATGGGAGGGGTGGCAGAGATGTCTCTAGGGACCCCTCCTTTACTCCCCCTTTCCTGCATGATGTGATGGGAGAATTGCTTCACCATCTGGTACCAGGGAGGAGAGTTTACAAGCAGCAGCAGAGCAGGCTTGGGGACCACACAAGAATGCTGCCAGCCATCACAATGACCAACACATGTGCTTGCACAGACGAAATATTTATTCACTCAGAAAAGACCTATTGAACCCTGATGGCACAATGGTTAAGTGCTTAGCTGCTAACCAAAAGGTTGGCAGTTAGAACCCACCCAGCGGCTCTGTGGGAGAAAGACCTGGTGATCTGCTTCCGTAAAGATGACAATCTAGAAAACCCTATGGTGAAGTTCTACTGTCACATGGTATCTCAGTCATCTAGTGCTGCTCCAACAGAAATACCACAAGTGGATGGCTTTACAAAGAGAAATTTATTCTCTCACAGCCCAGTAGGTTACAAGTCCAAATTCAGGGCATCAGCTCCAGGGAAACGCTTTCTCTGTTGGCTCTGGAGGAAGGTCCGTGTCATCAATCTTCCTTTGGTTTGGGAGCTTCTCTGCGCAGGAACCTCAGGTCCAAAGGACACGCTCTGCTCCCGGCACTGCTTTCTTGGTGGTATGAGGTTCCCGTGTGTCTCTGCTCACTTCTCTCTTTTATATCTCAAAAGAGATTGCATTAAGACACTAATCTTGTCAACCTCATCAGTATAACCTCATCACAGTGATAGAGTTTACAACACATAAGGAAATCACATCAGATAACACAATCATACAATACTGGGAATCATGACCTAGCCAAGTTGCTACACACGTTTTTTTGGGGGACACAAGTCAATTCATGACACGTGGGGTCTCTGTGAGTTGGAATTGACTCCACGGCCCCTAACACCACCATGTGCCAAGCACCTGGAATACAATGATGAATGATACAGACCTAATCCCCGTACTCACAGACCCACAATGTAATGGGGGCCACAGAAAAGTAAACTGGTGGTTGCAACTCAGTGGTATGCTAGTGATACGCACAGGGGAAGTGTGGGGAGGGGCACCAACCCAAACTTTGGAAGGGCAAGGCCTCCAGAGGAGGTGATGCCAGAGCTAAGAGCTGGAGGCAGGAGGAGTCACCTGGCAAGGGTGGAAGGAAGTGTGTCCCAGGCAGAGGGAATGGCACATGCAAAGGCCCAGAGCTTTGGAGCTGGAGCCCCGAGGGCCAAGGGGACTGTCTGGGGAGGGTGGCAGCTGCAAGATCACAATGTGGCAACTTGGCTAAAGAGGTGGAACTTTAAGCTAAGAGCCATGGGGCACCTGTTGAAAGGTTTTAAGCCCAGGCTCTGATCTGGCCTTTAGAAAGAGTTCTGTGGCCGCAGTGGAGAATGGTTAAAGGGTGGCTAGAATGGATGCAGGGAGATCAGGGAGAGGCTGCTGGAGTGATTTAGGTGCCCTAGGATGGATCCTGGAGGGAAGCAGCAGCAAGACAGAGACAAAAACCATAGTAGCTCTGAGAGACGGGCAGTAAAATGACAAGGCCTGGTGATTAGATTTATTGGGGGCAGAAGGCGCCTCCTTGCCACTCACCCAGCATGGCATCCCTCACCCTGAACAGGTAGGTAGATGACTAATTGTTGGCACCAAATGGATGGATGAGTGTATTTTCTGGTCTCAGGGCTTATGAGCAGGAGATGGGCAGAGACCAAAACCCAAACCAAATCCATTGCCCTTGAGTTGATTCTGACTCATAGCAGTGACCCTATAGGACAGAGTAGAACTGCCACATAGGGTTTCCAAGGCTGTAAATCTTTATAGAAGCAGACTGCCACATCTTTCTCCTGTGGAACGGCTGCTGAGTTTGCACCATTCACCTTTCAGTTCGCAGCTGAGCACTTTAAGCACTGTACCACCAAGGCTAGGCAGAGACCAGCATGATGTAATTAAATCTTTCCTTTTATCTGAAATTGAGCCTTATAGTTTGCAAAATGCTTTCATATACATTACCAAGGTTCCTCCTGCCCCCCAATGTGTTATTGGCTGTCACTGTACCGGAAAGTACACCATTGGTGATGGTCCACAGTGTGGGTGGAAAGAGCATGGGTTGGGAAGTTGGAGAGCCTGGGCCAATTCTCCCTCTGCGTTTGGTATCTGTGTGAGCCTTGAGCAGTCATTGAAATTGTCCAGGCCTTGGTTTTGTCATCTGCAAATTGAAGATAATGCCGATTTTACAGGTTTGCTGTGAGCATTAAATAAAGATATGTGTGTAATCAATTTTTCATGGAATTCAAACTTTCTGGAGCCAGTGGAGGCTGGATAAACCCCTCTGAAACTATTGCCCTGAGATAGTCTTTAAACCTTAAACCAAAAATATCCCCTAAAGCTTTCTTTAAACCAAACAGTAATTTAACTAAATTAGTGAAGAATGTCTGCCTTGACCATTGTGCTCTTTTAAAGAACTATCTATGTGGGACAAATTGACAACAGCTACTCCAAAGGTTAGACAGGAAGCTTAGGGGGGCAGTGAGTTTGTTAATGGTGGAGGAATAATTTAGAAAAGGAGAGTGAGGATGGTTGCACAACTTGAAGGATGTAATCAATGTCACTGAGTCGTACATGTAGAAGTTGTTGAATTGGTGTATGTTTTGCTGTATATATTTTCAACAACATTAAAAAAGAAAGAAATGAAGAAGAAGGAAAAAAGCATGTATGTAAAGGCATCTAGCTTGTTCCTGGAACAGAGTAGGTGCTTGGCAAGAAATTGATTGAATCTGGGTCCTTAGGAGTCCCCAAACTAAAGGCAGAGCCCCAACAAGACTATCCATCTGGTTGAAAGCTGGGGGCACAGGCCAGTGATCTGGGAAGGGGTTAGTGTATCAGGGAGGAGGGATTGGGCTGCCAAAGGAGCCGTGTGGACTTGGCGGACAAGCTTCTCCCAGGGCCTCATTTTTGCTCTTGGCTGGCCCAGCAGCAGCACTCAATAATCTGCAGAAGCAAGAGGAAAGCCAGATTAAATAAATGCCATTTTGGACACAAAAATATTGGCATTGCAAAGGTTCCTTCTTAAAGCATTCAGCTAAGAGTGGGAGGCTATCGATTTGGCCATCTCGTTTCTGCTGAGTTTAATGACAGCAGTGTAGATGGACTATTGTGTTTCCTGAAACTAATAAAAAGAATAACAACACTCCACAGGGCGTGCCTCAGCTAAGCCCTTCTGACAGAAGCTGCCCGTCTGGAACTCTCCCTCCTGTGGCCCTAGAGACTCTCA